AGTTGGTGATGCACCAAGTCTATTTTTTAATTTGATATGTAATTAATTTATGAACAATCCTTTACCCTATTTGATATATACTTTACTTTTGAACAATCCTTCACCCTTTATAATAACAATGGGAAAAAAAGAGAAAAAGAGCACTCATAGTTATGGATGAATACACCAATATGAAGGGATTGAAATGGACTACTATTTTTCTTGTTTGGGAGGTAGGAAATAGACTGCCTGGTTCTGTTGGGTCTGGTTGGGTATCTTCTCCATAAATATTCTTATTAATTATTTTCCTTGTCATGTTAGGATAAGGGTTCACTATCATTTGTGTCTATATTTGTATGGTTGGGAGAATATTGATCAGTTCACATCCTTACAGGTTCGGCTGGATCAAAATTCTCTGCAATAGTCTTGTTGTAGTAATTCAAAGCCTATACTCAAAGTTAAAATAAAACTGTATTGTTTTAGAGTATGATTACTTTAATTTTAACTCAAATTGTTGGATTATATGTCATATTGACGTGATAAAAAGTAAAGAAACTAGACTCGATAGCAATAGGGTTCACCACTCATTATGGATCACAAAACTTCACTAGAGTCTAGACCTAGTCACAGATACAAGAGAGTAAGTAAAGCAATGCTTTCACCTTCCAGATCACATCATTTGTGTTTTCTTCACCATTTTTGGTTAAGGTAAAGTTGCAACTTGCAGGGGCAGTGGAAACCATGTGTGGTGGATATGTTGAATACATGATTTGAATGCCTAACAATTTGGCATTTTGAGGATGCTTTTTGTGGGAAAGGCCACAGAAGTTTGTAGTGCATGTCCATTTAAAAGTGGTATTAAAGTAGGGTTAGTTAAAACATCTTTAATCGTTCATCAGATGTATTATTAAATTAAGTAAAAATTTGAATAAAATTTTAATCTGATAAGATATATTCTAACCCTTTCATCAAATCTGATCGGTTGACTGGTTGATTGTCCAATCGGTCATTCATCTAGAGTAAATATTCATCAAATTTATCCCAAAACTGGTTATCAAGGAGGATGCTCGGAAGGACACCTGGCCCAATAGTCACCTACAAATTTGATGAAAAGATAAGCGTTCCGTTCGTTTGATGAAAAAAGTATTGTTTCTTTCATTTGATACCAAACTGATGAAACGGTTAAAGTACCGTTTTCATTAATTTTTCATCAAATTTAAATTTGATACACAATTGGAGATGGTCTTATACGACTTAAAATAGTGATGGAGTTAACTTATGTCAAATCAAGCCATGCATATGTCAAGGAGGGGAGAAGGTATTTAGGGGTTGTTTAGCATTGGCTAATATAATCAACTTTTTTAGCCTCGTTTGGTTTTTGTTTTGAGACTTTTTTGACTTTTGTAAGACAAAAAGTGTAATGATTATAGATAAAAAGTGATATTTTGTCTTATTGACTTATATAACTTATTTTGTCTTTTTATATTTTTTTAGTTTCAAAATATTAGCCAAACGAGCACTTAGTAAGTTGGACATCATGTTAGTTGTGTGCTCGTCTTATCAGAAAAAGTTAAATACATGGTTTGAAAAACAAAAAAATACAATGAACAAATTACAAAATACCATTGAACAAGCATACAATCACGTGGTATTCCGAACTCATATGAAAATTTCTACAGAAAAGAAAACCAACATTAAAAACGCCTAACAGTATATGAGAATATCATTAATTTTTTTTTAAAAATGATAAATTATATCATTGGTCCTTGTGGTTTAGGCAAGATTTCACTTTAGTTTTCGTAGTATGATGAAAATGATAAGTATTGTGGTTACTTATTGGATGGTGATACCGCCATGTAATATCATCGTTAAACACAATAGTTATTTATTTATTTTTAATTTTTTTTTAATGTGTACCATAAAATTAGGTTTTTTTTCATATGGTCCAAAAACTATGGATTGAATTTAAACCGACAAGGCACCCACCATTACATTGCTTTATATGTTTCAAAGAAGTCACTTTGCTTGGTTAAAGTTTTTCAAAAACACTTTTCATAAAATTTTATTTTCTTATTTTTTGTATTTTTTTGTTTTTATTGAATTTTTTTAATATTTTAAGTAATTTTTTTTTAATTTTTAGACATACCTAACATAAATATACCTAAAAAGTAAAAAATTTATAAAAAAAACCTTTTATAAATTCATAAAATACAAAAAATATATAAAAAAAATACGAGAATTCAGTATATTTTTTATATTTTTATGTATTTATTAACTTTTTAAAATATTTTTTCACAATTTTTTAACTTTTTAGATACATCTAAGTAAAGTGCATCTAAAAAAGTAAAAAAAATGTTCTAAATTTTAAAAATATTCATTAAAAACATAAAAACATGAAAATAAAAAAACTCAATTTTTAAAAAACTTAATCTAAAAAACTCAAATCAAATACACTGATTCCTTCAACCAATCACAAACACCATAGCCTCCCTTGTTATCTCCATGTCAAGGCTTGTCCTATATATTCTTCAATCGTTCAATGAGAATCGATCAGATTCCTAACGAATTGAACATGCTAAATGTTGGTGTCTCTTCTTTGAGATTCGGTTCAATGTTCTCACGATTAAAAGTGTGCAAAATACAATGGATGTGGGAAGTCCTCCCTCAAACCTAGGGGGAATTGATTCACTTTTCATGGTTGGAGTTCACAATAAGCTGCCACGTATTAGTTTTTTTTGGGTATAATGTCACATTATTACAAAATTGACAAATTATATGTACTTTGTCTTTTTGTACAACTCTCATAAAAATTTAAAAAAATAAACGATGGCTTGAAATTGATTGACCAAAATTTCATATTTAAATTACTTTTTTATATTCTAATTCTTTGAGTATTATTATTAGAATATAAGGAAGCATATTTAAATGCCGGAATTGTTTCAGACCCCCCCGGGTGACCCTCAGAACCCTTAGTAAGGTCTGATTGGCCAGCAATATATATATATATATATATATTTCTTTCAATAACCAACCTCAACGTGGTGTGGAGGCGGTGGGGACGGGGTGGGGGACAAGTGGGGTCCCAATCACGGATCTTTAAATGCCATATGTTCTGCAGTAAAGATTGAGGAGGAAAGTTTACCATTTCTCTTTATTTAAAGAAGTGAGATTCTCTAGGTCTATGTATAACCTCATCTTTTACACTAATTTAAAAAATTAACAAAAGCGAACCCTATCATATATTAAACTACTCACTTTACACTCTTGCAGTTCTAATTTGTTTGATTTTACTGATGAATTGTGCTATTTTATTTTAATTTGATCCAAACAATAACCTGAGTTAAGGAAATGGACAAAAAATAAAAGCAAAGATCTGGACAAAAAATTCTAAATAGCAAATTACACATTGTACAAATCCACGTAGCAGTCTTTAGTGACTTGGATAGGATTGTGTATTCTTTTAAAAAGTGACTTGGAGTTGGGCCTTACTAGAAAAACTCTTCCAGCCCAAGAATGCCACATTAGAGACCAACCCAGGAATATTGCTACTGCCTAGCCTAGTGGAGTGGGTGATATCAGAGATCACCTAGGACAATGCGTGATGGGCTTACAGGCCCAAAATATTGGACTTTACTCATGAACTAGCTGCTGGACTCCAAAAATGCTAGAGACCCCAAAAATTCTACCAAAAGTTTTACTCTCTAACATTACTCGCTGGACTCTGGGTACTAAAGAATAGGCTTCAAATTCAATTATGATTATTAATCTTGCATTTACAGGGCCTTCAAACTGGGTACTAAAGAAAGGGCTTCAACTATCTGGAAGCTCATTAGCCCAACAGCCTTTGTTGTGCCCTGATGAGAGGCCCACCATGCTCCTATTTCTATGATCCAAACTGAATACTTTTATAAGATTTATTGAATAATTCATACATAAAAAAAATTAAATTGGTCGTGTATCGATGACTTTATGATTGAATCACATTGTCTTTAAAAAATAGACAATTATTTTCAAAATCATATTAAACATATTTTTTTAATTTAAATGTGACTTGATCATATAACCATCGATGTTTGATCAATCTAATTTTTTATAAGCATAATCTGCTTAGCAAATTCTTAAAAGTAAACAGTTTAAATAATGAAAATAGGCTTGCGGAAGGCCCACCATGGGTCACAACAAGCACAAAAATGACTCCAATTCTCAATAGGACAAAAAAAATATACAATCTTAATTAGTTACCGGAGAGATTGTTTCCTCACCCAAACCCAAACCCAAACCCAAACCCAAACCTAAACCTGCACCATCAAAGATAATAACAAGAAGTCTTTTTGTTAGACCAAATCGCTCTTTCAAAAATAATCAATCCTTACCTTGGGCAAGGTTGGATGTGATGTTTTGTTTGTTGTGGCTAAAATAGCCTGTTTTGTCTTTTGTGGCTATTTTAGCCCCAACCCAACTTGCCAAACACCACCTTAATTAGTTACCGGAGAGATTGTTTCCTCACCCAAACCCAAACCCAAACCCAAACCTGCACCATCAAAGATAATAACAAGAAGTCTTTTTGTTAGACCAAATCGCTCTTTCAAAAATAATCAATCCTTACCTTGGGCAAGAATTAATCCCTTATCCTTTTATTTGGGAGCATATAGCTCTGATTAAGCAGAATGACAAAGAAGATTCATCTTATTATCATCCCCACTTGATTATCAACGCCACTTAGGATACCATATACAAGTCTCAATTTGGTTTGGCTTTGGAATCTCTTAAAATTGGTGAAGACTTTTCTTTGGGCAAATCTGTCCCACAATTGGACAAAATTTTCTGTAGTGGATAATATGGTATCTAAGTTTTTGGTTTATCCAAAATTTTGAATAAAAACCAGTGGGTGTGTGTGATGGAAAAGCCTTGAAACAACACAACCACCACTCATTTCAATTAACAAATGCAAGCAACCAAATCCACCCTCATCTTCCATTTTCCACCCAAAAATAAAAAATAAAAATCTAATAATTCAAAATCAACACAATGCAGACTCCTCTACTCTTCCTCCTCTACATTCCGTGGCCAAGATTCTACCTGAATAATCCCATATTCTCTCCTCTCTCTTCTTTCTCTCTCTACCTTCTTTCTCTCACTGCCTCATGCCTCCTTGTTGCCTATCTTCTACCAGAAACACCATCCTCTATTTCCCAAGATATCTCTCTCCTTCATTAGCCCATGAATACCAAACCCACCTCCCAAAGAGAGAGACATTCATTTTCAAGCCACACCTACCACTACCCAACTCATCTCTTTCACTCCTAAGACTCAAAACCAATAAACTCACACACCCTTTTGCAGCCTTATCATCTTTTGCTGAGGCTGAAGGTGAAGACAGACAAGAAATCAAAGCCAAAAAACATCAAAGAGATGCGAAAACTGAAGATGAAAACGTGCCCGGGATGGCACAGGCCTTCCACATATCGTCTAGAACGGCCTCCGCTGTATCGGTTTGCATTGCATTTGCTGCTCTTACACTTCCATTCTTCATGAAGTCTCTGGTTCAGGGATTGGGATTGAAGACTAAGTTGTTGTCCTATGCAACACTTTTGTTTGGGTTTTACATGGCTTGGAATATTGGAGCCAATGATGTTGCCAATGCCATGGGGACCTCCGTTGGGTCGGGGGCGTTATCGCTCCGGCAGGCGGTGATGATGGCGGCGGTGTTGGAGTTCTCGGGGGCATTGTTGTTGGGTACCCATGTGACCAGTACGATGCAGAAGGGAATACTAGTTGCCAATGTTTTCAATGGGAAGGATAATCTGCTTTTTGCTGGTTTGCTTTCTTCTTTGGCAGCTGCTGGTACTTGGTTGCAGGTGCATTTCCAAGTCCCTCCGTTTTTCAACACTCATGTTTTTCACATATAATCTTCAAATCTAATTCTTCATATATATTTGAAGCTATTAGGCATTGTTTGGTTTACTAGAATGAAGGCTGGAATAGACTGGTCATTCTGTGGGAAACTCTTTTCTGTGTTTGGCTTCTATGAAAAGAAAGGAAATGTACATTCCAAATGAAATCACCATTCACTAGTTTAGGAGAATGGTTATTCTAGCCACATAATAGTGATTTCATTCCTGTCCAAAAATCACTCAATCGAACCAAACACTACATTAGCGATGACCTTGATTAAATAATCAATGCCATGACTATTATGTGATCCTGTCCATCAAGGGGAGAAGTTATTTGGTGTTCTCACCCAACACTAGGAGCAAATCACTAATTTTTTTTAAAAAAAGGTTAGGAATTGTAACATTCACTGTAATCCGATAGCTAATTTTAGTTCTAATTTAGAATTTTTTCTTGTGAAAATTTGCACAAAAGTGAGATGAGTCTTCATTTGCTCTGCTCTGCTCTGCTTCAGTTCATCTGTCATTTTGTATTTCAAAGAAAATTTCATTGAATTATCATTTGAAATTCTAGTAATGATGCCTTTTTTATTTTCATATCTAGTTATAATAGGAGAGTGTCCTATTGAGATATTTTTACGAGTTTTTGATTGGTCTAAATCAAACTCTCAGTTTGATAGTCCTGTTCTACTTATTGACTACTCGCATTGGACAAAACACAAAGGGAGTTGGTGAGAAGAAGTCTGTTGACTGTAATGTCTTATGGAAGTTGGGAGTACCAATGATAAACTTTCTTCAAGTAAAACAAGTAAAAGAAACCAGAACTCTTTGGTGCATATGTTTTGACACATGATGTGTTTGCTAACATAATATGTCTGCAAATACTATGTATGTTCTAAATTTTTTTTCGTAACCTCTAATGATTTATCATGTGTATTCAGGTCGCATCATATTATGGTTGGCCTGTCTCCACTACTCACTGTATTGTCGGATCCATGGTTGGATTTGGTCTTGCCTATGGAGGAACCGGAGCTGTCTTCTGGAGCACACTAGCAAGGGTGACTTTTTCGTGGGTGGTCTCGCCTGTAATGGGCGCAGTGGTGTCATTTCTTGTCTACAAATGCATCCGAAGGGTATGTACTCACCACGTAAAACTTGAATCAAACCCTAAATACCCTAAACCCTAAGCATATAAACTGCGAGGATGGAACTTAAGATTGTGTTTGGGTCATAGATTTGCGTAGAAATTTGGAAAGAGAAAGGAGAAGGTGAAAAAAATGTGAACGAAATATAAATTAAAATTTTCCTCCATGCATCTCGTTTTTTCTTTCTCTTTCCAAATCACTATCCAGTCCCTACCCAATCCATTACCAAATATAGCCTACGAAAATTTCAGCATCAATCCAAACCTAAAATTTGGTAAACTTGGAAAGTTATCAGTAATTCTAAACTGGTTTACCTTTTCTTAGTTTGTATACAGTGCTCCAAACCCAGGACAAGCAGCCGCTACAGCTGCGCCAATTGCTGTTTTTGTGGGGGTTACTGCAATCTCATTTGCAGCCTTCCCTCTCAGCAAGAGCCCTCCTTTGGCTCTAGCCCAGGCTTTAGCCTGTGGTACTTGTGGAGCAATCCTAGTCAACAGAATCATCCAGAGACAGCTTGGTCACCTACTTATTAAGTTCAACTCATCACAATCACAGCCAAAAGACAATCCCATCATCCCCAACAAAAGCATCGGGCTTTTGACTGATATTGCAGGCCCTAAAGGTACCCAGCTTGAAATAGTTTATGGGGTGTTTGGCGACATGCAAGTCCTGTCAGCCTGCTTCATGTCATTTGCGCATGGTGGTAATGATGTTGCCAATGCAATTGGCCCTTTGGCTTCAGCGTTGTCGATACTACAAGGTGGGACGAGCGGAGCCGAGGTAGTTATTCCCAATGATGTTCTAGCATGGGGAGGATTTGGAATTGTTGCAGGTCTAATGATGTGGGGGTATAGAGTGATTACAACAATTGGGAAGAAGATAACAGAATTAACACCGACTAGAGGATTTGCAGCCGAGTTTTCAGCAGCATCTGTGGTTTTGTTTGCATCAAAGCTTGGACTACCCATCTCAGCAACCCATACTCTGGTTGGTGCAGTCATGGGGGTAGGATTTGCTAGGGGACTTAACAGGGTTCGAGCAGAAACCGTGAGAGAGATAGTGGCTTCTTGGGCTGTGACAATACCGGTTGGTGCTGGCTTGGCTGTTTTCTACACATGGATCTTGACTAAGTTCTTGGCATATATACTGTGAGTGTATATTCGAAAGACTAGGATGGAAACGGTTTGATGTATATAATTAGTTAACAATCACCAACATTTTTTGAAGTGACTTGTCAAATTACTATATATCTAACGTTTAATATGAGCTCTAGCTTGAAACCACTACATTTGGAATTGAGAAAATGACATTGGTTTTTGCGTTTTGGAATTGGTTACCTTCTGCACTACCATTTGTTTTTAGCTTTCATCCACAATTTCAGAAGTTTTGGTTATATGCTTCTCCAAATATGAACCTTTTTTTCTTCTTGAGCTAGCCCTTGATAGTATGATTAACTAAGTACATATCTCTAAGGCCCCGTTTGTTTTGGGCTATAAGGAGGGTATTGGGACTAGTAATACCAAGGTATTACTAAAGTCCCTGTTTGTTTGCAAAGAAAACCTTGGGACTAAAGCCCTTGGTATTGCTAATACCCTTGAAGGGGGATTAGTAAGGAGGATGTAGAGATGGTATTAGAAAATAGTGAGGGGATTAGAAATTTTTTTATTTTTTATATATTGGGAATTTTTTTTAAATATAATGTTTAATTTTTTATATTTTTTTATTTGTTTTATTATTTTATATAAAAATAATTTAATAATTCCTCACTATTAATCCCCTCACTAACAATCCCCTCACTATTAATCCCCTCACTATCAATCCCCTCACTATCAATTCCCTCCATTCTATCTCCCAAAACAAACCCAAAGGAGGTTGTTACCTTTGATAATCCTTCATCCAAGTTCGGATAAAATAAAAGAGAGTGACTATTATCCTCATCTCTCCTCAGACCGACACCACCATCAAGTTTACTTCTGCACACATTGTTCCCGTTCACAAGGTGGATTTTTCCCTACCCACAGAAAGTTTCTATTAAGTCCAACATTGTCAACACAGAGAAAAGGAGGGTCACAGTTTGCATTAAATGATTTGGAATGGGAATATTCACTGATTAGATCAAAGTAGTTATCCCAGCAAGGGATGAGAGATTGGTTTTCCAACCAGCTAATCTATTTTGGATTTTTCAATATGTGAAATTGTTTTTCGTGACTCTAGAGTGGAGAAGGGATCATTGGTCAACCCTATACCGCATCTAAAGTGAGAATCAAAGCTTTGTTTCTAGGAATGTTGGAAGCAAGGTTTTAAAAAGCGGTTGCGGTCGCCGTAACGGTGGCAGTGGCGCGGTTGCGGTTGCGGAGTGTAAAGGCCGTAGTGTAACGGTTGCGGTAACCGGAACCGTGAATTTTTTTATTTTTCGCACAATTTGAAACAAACTTACGGATACGCATATTTATTGGGTTAAAAATAAATATTGATCAATTTTCATAAATTTTTAAGTGTGACCTAATATATTTCATATTTTTAAATTACTATAAACTGAGTTTTTTTCATTTTATTTTAATAATTAATGACTTTATATTATACAAAAAATCAATCACTAACTATTATATATAAGATAAACAATGACAAGTAAAAGAATAAATAAAAGCCTAAATATATATATACTGTAAAAAATTAATGTATTATTGATTGATGTATGTTATTTATTACAAATGGTGAGTGGCTCCTTGTATAGGAGATGTAGTGGAGTAGGTGGTAGTGGTAGGTGTGTAGTAGGTGGTAGTAGGTGGTGGTAGGTGTAGTAGGTGGAGTAGGTGATGGTAGGTTTTAACAGTCCCCGCAAACTCAAGGGGATAGGAACTAACCAACTTAAGTTTGGAGAGAGTAACAAAACAAGAAAATAATCTGAAAAATAAAAAATGGATAGGAGACACTGTATGGTCGTGTCAGACCGTTGTAGAAGACTGTATGGTTATGGCAGACCGATGTAGAAGACAGTTTATGGGGTCATGTCGGACCGTTGTAGCAGACAATGTTGTGACAGTTGTTGTGACAGTTTACGGAGTCTTGCTGGACCCTTGTAGAAACTAACCGGAATCAATGTCGGGACAGTTTACAGAGTCTTGTCGGACCCATGAGGAGCTTACCGAAATCAATGTCGGGACAGTTTACAGAGTCTTGTCGGACCCCTAAAAAGTCGCACCCTCAAAAGGTGTGCCCAATTTGTCAAAAAGGCGTGCCATCAAAAGGCATGCCCAATCTATAAAAAGGCGTGCCATAAAAAAGCGTGCCATCAAAAGGAGCGCCCATGTTGTCGTCGAGCGCCGAGCGACGCATGATGCGCGTGTCTGCCTTGGCTATTTAACCAAGGTTGAGGCGGAGGCTGTGCAAACCAGTCTGAAACCGCCGAAAATCCTTTGAAAAAAACTCTTCCGTTTCTGAGAAAGAGATTCTGGAACACTCTGTTGCCATTCTGTAACCAACCACCTCCGTCTCAGAATTGATTAGACTGAAGTTCAATGTACCAACAAGGGTATGAATGGATTTCAGCCTCCATGCACTTTGAAATGGTATATAATGACTCATTACTAGTTAAGTGCCTAAGAGTAACTTGCTGGTTTTGACTCCGGATGACATTGGTCAGATTGTTCATGTTGTCAGCTATAGGTGATGCTCCACTAGTTGGCTTCCACGACTTTCCAGACCTTACAGGTGTATTCCTTTTCCTTTTACCCCCAGTTTCAACACCTTCCATTGAGGATTCAACGTCCACGTCAATACCAACTAAAGGGATTGGATATAGGAATAGCCGCATACCAAGGCTCTGAACTGAATCAGAAGAGCCCTTGTTATCTTCTATAGTCTTCTTCCTCGGTGTCCAATGATGTTTGTCGATTGTAGCAACCCCTATAAAGACAATCTCCATCAAATCCCGGTGCTCCCAAGTTTTATTCCTAAATTTTGCACAAGTCTTGTTTATTTGCAGAACAGGAAACATAACACAACTAGAAAAATATGTTACTAATCGAAATTAAAAGCAATGCAGAAAAAAAAAAAAAGGTGCACATGAGTTGGTATGTCAAAAAGTAGAATAAAAACAAAAGTGCACATGGGTTGGAAAGTAACATGACCTCGTCAATTATTTGTCCATAACTAGTTCCTTTCTCCTTAAACCAGTATGGGATTTTTCTCTTGGTAAATATGATGTTATCATCGGGGAGACCCGGCAAAGCAAATGTCTCTGTAACATAGAACAAGAACCTGGGAATGCCGAGGCGAGCACCAAGGTCGGCAGTCCAGGGATGGAACATGTCGCTGACGATGCAATCAGGGCGGCGTCGTTTGAAATGATCGCCGATGACCTGCGATTTTGGACGCCGATCACGAGGTTGAGATTTTCCGGCGAGGAAAAGAAACAGAAGCTTCCGAGATCGCAGGATTCGCCTCTGATGGTGACGACGTAGGCGAATCGGACGGCGATGATGAGAACACCGAAGACAGAGTCGAACCAGAATGTTCCTCAGTAAGCTTGGCTTAGACTCCATAGCTCTCTGTATATACTAAATCTAGAGAGATGTGGAATTTGTGGCAGCGGAGTGAAGGAATGTGTGGAGGTCCGGCGGGCGGCCAAGGCGAGGCTGCCGCCCGCCGGTGAAGCAGAATTACTAGCTTCTTAACCTTGCTCTGATACCATGTAAAAAATTAATGTATTATTGATTGATGTATGTTATTTATTACAAATGGTGAGGGGCTCCTTATATAGGAGATGTAGTGGAGTAGGTGGTGGTAGGTGGTAGTGGTAGGTGTGTAGTAGGTGGTAGTAGGTGGTGGTAGGTGGAGTAGGTGATGGTAGGTTTTAACATATACATATTTTAACCAACCCAAATAGATAATGACTACACTCATTATTATTATTATTTTCAAACAATATATAGATAGACACACACAAACAAAATGGTTGAGTGATAGCAGCTGAATAGAATAACATAAGTCTTACAACTTCAACGAATCAATAACATGTTCTTCATCTTCCCTCTTCTCTCTTTCTATCTCTTGCTTCTCCATTTTCTCTCTTTATCTTCTCTCTTCTCTCTATCCCTCTTTGTTAGAATTTATCTCCACCTACCACCTCCACTATCACACACTCCACGCCTACCACCTCCACTATCACACACTCCACCTACCACCTCCACTTCACTCCTACACCTACTACCACATTTTCTTCTATATATAGGAATTGTAAATATATCAACACATCAATCAATAATACATCAATTTTAACATCGTATCAGAGCATGTTACTTCCGGTTAGCTCCTTTATGGGTCCGACAAGACTCTGTAAACTGTCCCGACATTGATTCCGGTTAGCTCCTTTATGGGTCCGACAAGACTGTGGCAGCGGAGTGAAGGAATGTGTGGAGGTCCGGCGGGCGGCCAAGGCGAGGCTGCCGCCCGCCGGTGAAGCAGAATTACTAGCTTCTTAACCTTGCTCTGATACCATGTAAAAAATTAATGTATTATTGATTGATGTATGTTATTTATTACAAATGGTGAGGGGCTCCTTATATAGGAGATGTAGTGGAGTAGGTGGTGGTAGGTGGTAGTGGTAGGTGTGTAGTAGGTGGTAGTAGGTGGTGGTAGGTGGAGTAGGTGATGGTAGGTTTTAACATATACATATTTTAACCAACCCAAATAGATAATGACCACACTCATTATTATTATTATTTTCAAACAATATATAGATAGACACACACAAACAAAATGGTTGAGTGATAGCAGCTGAATAGAATAACATAGGTCTTACAACTTCAACGAATCAATAACATGTTCTTCATCTTCCCTCTTCTCTCTTTCTATCTCTTGCTTCTCCATTTTCTCTCTTCTCTCTTCTCTCTATCCCTCTTCCCCCATTTTCAGCTTTTTTTTGTGTGTTTTTTGGAAAGAAACAGTTTGGAACCGTTACGTAACAGTGCGTAACAGGCCGTTACGGCTGTTACGGCACCGTTAAGACCGCTACAGTAGCCGCTACGGCCGACACACCTGTGAATCTCAATCACACTGCAAAAGCGGCCGTAACGGGTGGCGGTAACCGCCAAAACCGTTGCGTAACGGCGTTACGTAACGGTTGCGGCCGCTTTTTAAAACATTGGTTGGAAGAGACATATTGTTTGCATATCCGGAGAATAATTTTGGACCAAAAATGCCACAAAAGCCTTGAAGAACATCTATGAAAGTCTGGCAGTTCTCATATCAACTTTCACAAAAAGAATGAGACATGGTTTTTGTTTGCCAGAAAACTTGTTGGCAAACTGTTTCCAAAACCTGATATCATTTTTGTTTGCTAGTTGCTACCCCTAAAATCGTGAATTGATATTACTTTACGTCAAAATTTAAAAGTACTACTAAGCATATCAGGAAACTTTAAATTAAATTAAAGTTAAAGTTTAATGCGTCACACAACCGAAAATAATTCAGGGGGGTCATTTCAATCCAACAAGAAACTTTAGTCAAGCAAAATCCATATATCTTAGAAGGGTCTCTAATCCAAAAAAAATGCCATAAGTAGCATATCGATTAAATGAGTACAGCAAAAGACTTATTAGAGCAAATTTCTTTCTGTTGCAACAAAAGTACAAAACATAAGCAGCACAACTGCATGGAAGGATCTACATACCAGATTACATGGTAAGAACTAACCATCAAATATCGTGCAGAAAAGTCACGGAGAGACCTCTTGAATGGAATTTAGGCTGGGCTCCCATACCATTCCCTTCAGCATTTTTGAATTTTGGATTGGGGGTACAAATGGTTTCTTCTCTTTTCGATGTTTTCTCAGCAAACGTCCAGTCGGCTTTTCTTCAGAGACATGGAAGTCTGTTGAACAAAGAGAAACCTCTGAACAATTGTCACCTACATCTTCAACAATCTGTCCATCCAACATCATAGCTTTCCCCTCATCAGATTCTTTTACTTTACCCTTCTCTGAATGCTTACGCTTCAGTTTCTGCACAGTTGTAGACGGGATTATATAATATTTTTGTCCTGGAAAAAGCTTCTCTTCTGCCAATAAAAGAGATTCATGGGGAGATTTGAAGACTCCCGGTCTAGCCACACACATCCCAGGATATTTTTCCATTAACTTCGATGCAGAAATCTCTGTTCGATACAGTTCTTCACGCCCGCCCGCATGAATTATTCTAACAGTAATGTCCTTCAATTGCACACTCAAGTCCATCGACATGGAAGCATCGCCAAATCCATTTTTCCTTCTGGACTTTTCGTCGCTGTGCTTGCATAGCCCGAACAAACAAGCACATATTTTCAGCATTGTCTGCAACCAGAAAGCCCTCCTCTCTCACCCCAATTGTTAGCATCACAATCCAATGTCAGGAGGAGTTGTGATGTCAATTAGATTGAGCTATTTCAATTGGACTAAGCATTGCCCATGTAGAAAACTTCTTTTTGTTTTTCATGGCCGGCTCTATCAATTCTAACAGTTGTCAGATAACAACACTGATAGATACAAGGCTTAACAGAACATATATGGCATTGGCATCTGAGCAACAATAATAGTCTTTTGTACTCTTCTCCTTGACGTGAAAACCCAAGTTAGCCAAGTTGACCCAAAAAAAACGAAGCATCTTCCAAGTTTAATTTGATCTTGTGCCAGCTCTGCATACAAATCCTTGAGCTAATATCATACTCCCATAGGCCAAACAACACCTGGCATGGCATCGGTTATAGCTCAAATGATTGGATCCACCTTCCCCACATAATGTACCATAGAAGCTTGGCTGCTCTGAAAGATTGGAAGTAGCTGCATGCTTCACTACCTTCTCCAATGCAGCCCCCGTTGAACAATCAAGCAAAGTAGAATCCAGAATCCAAGCGTGGAGGGGACCTGAAGACAAGAATAGTTAAGCTCAATACTTCAAGAAAAAACCAGATGGTGGATTTCTAAAATTTTGGTTTTATACTTTTGGAACTTTTAGTACTTTGTTTTCTTCTTATTTTAGAAAGAAGAGAAAAAAATATAGAATATTCCAGATTATGCTGTCCTACTCATCCAATCTAGCAGTTATGCTAGTCCTTTTCCTTGATTTCTATCCAATAGCTATACAAAAAGCGATTACAAAAAATAGTTCTTAAATTTAGGATTCTTGGAATGAACACCTGTTTTGTAGTATTCATCAGATTGTGCCACAAGAAATGCAGGCCCAAAAGAGTAAAGAAATGGCAATGGATTTTTAAACCAATAGACATCAACATCAGTAAGATGTACATTTGTAACCCAGCTCCAGTATCTGCAGAACCACTCTGGACTTCACTTTGGTCACCCTCTGAAAGCATTTTGTTCCAAAGTGGCAATCATTAAAACTGATGTTTGGAGCAATCGAATTGTCTAAAATAGTTGAGCCCTAGGAAAACATTTATCTTTCAAGTTCACAGAGAGAGAGAGAGAGAGTAAAACTGAATATTAATATATAGATGAAAGTCAGAAGTTAAGATATCTAAGGTCTTTCCCAAGAATGTTTAAGGGCTATCAACATGTGAAATGAAAACTTGGGTGAAAACTACAGGCAACAAGATCTATCTATATAAGCCAAACCAAACTAAGCCTTGTGTCCCAATCAAGTACAGTCTGCTACACGAATCCTTTTTTGCCACTCTGCTCTACCAAGAGCATATATCAAGCCCATTCTGCTCTGCCTTCACATAGAAATCTCTAGTTCCATCTAGTGATTTAAAACCATTAACACAATCCACAATTTTCTTCTCTATCCTGGATCCCCAGATCTTGTCCTTCCTGAAGCTCAATGATCTCGGGTATCCAAATGGTAAACAATATTTTTTGAATACACTCGCTTTTAACCAAGTTAGAGTAATTAGTTTCATGGAAATACAATGACCCATGCACAGCCCCAAGATAGAAATTTCCGACATTATCCCAACTTCTCCTTCCAATATTTGTGACATTGAAATTTGAAATCCAAATGATTTATAAGACCTAGGGTCAAGATAGTTTAGATAGAAATTTGAGATGGTCCAACCTTCACCACCTGCCCCCACACCGTGCATTGTCCCTGTAGGCAAATTTAAGTAGGCATTCCTTTGCTTATTGGACAATTTATTTTTCCACATTGCAACAGAATAAGAATTTGCAAGATAGCCCACAAGCATTAAGAAAAAATAATTAATTAAAATAAGAACAATGGATCAAGTAAGAACAATGGAATTTAGGCCACGAAGCAATGCATTCACACAACACAGAATCATCGAGCTCTCAGAACTTTTAGCAGTTGATTCAAAGTTGTTTACCATAATCAAACACGGTTATTAAAGTCAATAATACAACATGTACTCTTAAACTCAAAGAACAACAAATGAACAAAGAGCATAGAGCTCACGAGCTTTGACCTTCTGCAAAAGCTGTGACCCATGCACTTAGATGCCACCGTTTCTATGGCTATAGTCTGCCAAGTCCCTTAGTTCTAGTGCCATCTCTCATATTCTTCTCTCCAACACCTGTGTTCTCTTCCACCGTTTTGTTTGCACAACAAGAAACTCTGTCAGAACCAGAGCAACAGCTTGTTCCATTCAACAAGCCACAGCTATTTTGTTGAAGCTTCGGTTCTTCAAATTTCTTCCCTTCACTGTTCAATGAGCCCATTCGACCCCTGTGTAGAAGCAAACTTTCTCAGTGCAGATATGGAAGCTACTGTATCACAACAAATTTAAAAACTTCTTCATTGTTTGGAAGCAATAGATAGAAAAGAAAGAGCAATGTAAATACCAGAAAACAGGTATCCACTCGTGTCTTTGCAAAATGTTTGTTTTTATACTACACAAAATTGTGAGACTGACAAACACATTTCTTGCATAATAGTCTGAGCAATCATAGACAAATTGTATAGGATGTGTTATACAAATTATAGACTCTTTAAATTGTTGTCGATGAGATTTTGCAATTTGTTCATTTCACAATTCACACCAACTTTAGTTTCAAAGGATTTTACGGATAGCTGTCAGGGATGATCCTATGAGATTGCATGTAACCATATGAACAGCATTAGTCAGAATGATTACGTGGCAGTTCTACTGATAAGGTCCTTGGCAAAGCAAATTAGAAACAATTAAGCAAAACATTTTATAAAGTAAGCACAAAATTAGAATTGAACAACCTCCAGAACCGTTCAACAATCTTTCGCTTCCCGATATGCTCATCAAGCAAAATAGGGACATCATTTGGAGTTACATAACCATACCTACAATATAAAAGTTAAAACACCAACCATCTCCATTTGGAATATTTGAACATATGCTGAGAAAGAAGAAGAACAGAAAACCAACAAAGTATATGAAGAAATTACCAATGACCTTCACATTTTCCCTCAAGAAGGCTGAAAATGATCAAGTTACCAGCATACTGGTGCCCACCAAGGTGAGAGCAAGGACTAACAAACACTTGATGTTTCATGGATCGTGATTCAATCTCTTCTTTAAACCTCTCAACGAGAACAGGGCCACATAGACCACATCTCTTGTCTCTATTCTGATGGCAACACACAAACACATATGAGCCGGTCAGCGTCTCTGGCACTCGTGATGCCCATTGGGAACCCCTCACAAACACATTGTCTACGAAAGTGTCCACATCAAGATGTGTCAAACCCCTATACCAGAGAAAAACAAAGGAAGGAAACAGCTCTCATACTGAATCCAAATGAAGCAAATTCAGGAATCTGTAATCACTGTTAGGTCAGGTACATTACCTATATCTAATCATGTCTGGAAAAATTAAAATGTCCCCATTCGAAGACTCTGTACTACCATCCCTTCCCTCACACAGCGTTAAACGAATCTACTCAACGAAAAAGTTTATAGTGAGTTTGGTTGGTTAAAGCATCTCCAATACTTCATCAAATTGTGCGTGTACTAACTCCCTCATATGATGCCTTTTTAACAACAAATTTAAAATTTAAAAAAGAAAAAGAAAAAGAAAAAGAAAATGTAGATAGAAAAAGCGACCTTTCCATGGAATTGGTTGTTACGGGACTTGAGAGCTGAAGATAGAAGCCTGGGAATAGGATCGAACTCGGGGTCTTCTACACTGGCAGGCCAGTTATCGGGACTTTTGTAGCATAGAAAGACGTGGCGGCCGTACGCGTCGACAGTTCCGGCGAGAGAGGACTTGTACATGTCTTGTCGCTGGAAACCATACTTGAGATCGTCGTCAGTGTTTGATTGATTTGTCGAATCGCCATGGATGTGGGAATTCAAGAAGTTCATAATATTCTCAAGACACCAAACTTCTCTTCACTGTACTGTCTGTATCTACCACCAAGCAACCGGGCTTTGGATAAATGGTCCAGAATCGGAGGCACTCAAAAGCTATTCAAGTCCCCAAAACGAAAAAAAGCGATGCTATAAAAACCTATCAAAAGTTAGCACTTGTCAAATTTTTTAGATTCTTCATTTTATAATTGAGGGCTGCTATTAGCATTTATCAAAATTTTTTAGACCTTCATTTATTTGGATCCAACCCTAAATTTTAAATTTTAATAATATTTTAATGGACACCCCACTTATTACCAAATCTACCCATATTCACAATGAAATGGATACCCACCTGAATCCATTCCAATTCTCTCTCTTCTCTCCCTCCTCGTTAGTGATGTCTCTTCTCTCTCTTTTCTCTCACTCTCTCAAAACCCCTTTTGTTCATAAGAGAAAGTGAAGATTTTTCTCTTTCTTCTCTCTCTCTTTCAAAACTCCTCAAAACCCTAGTTTTTTCTCTCTCTAACATTAATCACATTTAAAAAGTGGTTTCTGAAAACACAATGCATTTACTTGTGGAGTTGGTATTCTTCGTCGATTAGGATTTCGACGACGTGGGTCTCTTTGGAATTTGCCATTGATTGGGAAATTCAGATGAGAAAATGAAGATTAATGCGAATTGTAGGAATAGAAAACAATGTATATATATGGAAAACTAATCTCCATAATATTTCCATAATATTTTCATAATAGAAAACTAATCTCCATATTTTTACAATGAAAAGCACACTCACCTAATTTGTTCACCATTGTGTAGCCGAAAAAATATATTTTGTTCAGAACTGTTTTGTCGAACAATAATGATCCTGTCAGCACTGTATGTCCGAACAAAATTTGTTCATCACTGTGTAACTTGAATCCATTCTAATTCACAACTTAAAATAACATGAATTAAATCCATTCAAAGTACATAACTTAAATCCATTTCAATTCACTCTTTTCCATTCTAAGTTAGTTTAACAAAGAAAATTACATAACTGACGATCTGCATTAATGCTCGGAACTTATGTATTGAACGAAAGGATTATGTTCAATACTGTGTTACCGAACATAATTGTAATAGTCAGCAAACCAGTACCGAACAGCTTGAACGAAACAAGAACGACCGAAAACGACCAAGAATGTTAATACAAGACAGATAAACGACTGAGAATGTTGCCCTCGTCCTCCATTGCTCTACACAGTGAAATAAGTGATGAAGTATACGTTATACTTGAAGCAAAACTTTCAAGTTCAATAGCGTTGATGATGGTGATGAAGATAACACATTTAGGATTTAAGATGATTATGAAAAATAATAGATTTAGAGTTTATGTTAATTGGTTATGAAAAGTAATAGGTTTAGGGTTTACAAATATGGAATACGTATAGTTGGAGTTAGAGGTGGGGGTGGGGGTGTGGGTGGGTGTCCAATATTATAGAGTATTAGTTATTATTGATAGGTGGGTGTTCCATATCATAATGTCTTTTAATGTAATTTTACTTTAGGGTATAATTGTAATAAAAAAAATTATAAAATGAGGGGACCAAAGAATTTTGGCAGGTGCTAATAGCAGCACTCTTTATAATTTTTTTTTATTACAATTATACTCTAAAGTGAAATTACATTAAAAGCATTATTAAATGGAACACTCACCTATTAATAAGAACTAATACTCTATAATATTGGACATCTACCCCCACCACTACCTCCAACTCCAACTATACGTATTCCACGTTTGTAAACCCTAAACCTATTACTTTTCATAACCAACTAATATAAACCCTAAATCTATTATTTTTCATAATCATTTTGAATCCTGAATGTGTCATCTTCATCACCATCATCAACGCTATTGAACTTGAAAATTTTGCTTCAAGTATAACGTATACTTCATCACTTATTTTACTATGTAGAGCAATGGAGAACGAGGACAACAATTCTAGTGAGACCGGCGTTCCATTAATAAGTTTATCTGTCTTGCATTAACATTCTCGGTCGTTTTCGGTCGTTCTTGTTTCGTTCGAGCTGTTCGGTACTGGTTTGCTGACTGTTAGAATTATGTTCGGTAATACAGTACTGAACATAATCCTTTCGTTCAATACATAGGTTCCGAACATTAATGCAGATAGTCAGTTATGTAATTTTCTTTGCTAAACTAACTTAGAATAGAAAAGAGTGAATTGAAATGGATTTAAATTATGTATTTTGAATAAATTTAATTCATGTTATTTTAAGTTGTGAATTGGAATGGATTCAAGTTACACAGTGATGAACAAATTTGTTCAGGCATACAGTGCTGACAGGATCATTATTGTTCAACAAAACAGTTCTGAACAAAAAACATTTTTTCGGCTACACAGTGGTGAACAAATTCAAAATCATCACTCGAATCTGCTGATCTCCTATCGAGATTCTTGAATTTAGGGCATTTAGATGAAAGCTTTAATCTGGTTCTTCTCGCTTATCTCAAAAAACTCAGATGTAGAAACTGAGATTCTCAAAGAAATCAATAAGAAATCCGAAGCTCCGATCTACGAAGAAGTGAAAGACATGGTTTACACACACGCGTCGCTGAGCGAGACCATGAGACTCTACCTACCCATCCCCATTGACAGAAAGCAAGCTTTAAAAAATGACGTGTTGCCAGATGGGACAGTAGTGAAGAAGGGTATGAGAGTGAATTACCATCCTTACGCAATGGGGAGGTCGGAGGAACTTTACTGGACCAAAGCTTCAAACTCTGAAGATTGAGTGAGTCAGGGAAGGAAAGAGAGGGATGAAAAATTAGGTGTGTGTGCATTTCATTGTGAAAATATTATGAATATGGGTAGATTTGGTAATAAGTGGGTGTCCAAAAAAATATTATTAAAATTTAGGGTTTAGGGTTGGGGTCCAAGAAATGGGGGGTTCAAAGAATTTTAGTAGGTGCTAATAGCAGCACTCAAATTTTATCAGATGTTCATAGAATCTACATAAAATTTATTTTATGTGATATTTATACCAGACATTAATAAAATTTTCAGAATCTCTCACGTTACGCACCCAAAATCGTTTTATTTGCATGACTCCAAGCTTTATTGGCGTAATAATAATTACGATCAACATGACACGAGTGAGATTAGGTCGGTAATTATAGGCTCCGTTGATTAGTTTAGTTGATTTTTTAATTTTTTAACTATTTTAATTCAATTAAAAAAATTACGTTTAAATAGTTGGTTGGTTTTTGTTAAATATGGTACTTTTTTAGTAAATCCATTATCTAAGAGTGTTATTCCATAAGACCCATTGTGTTTTATAATATTCCATTAGGTTCATTTCATACGAAAAGACTAAAAAAATCCTCAAACAAGCACACGCGTCTCTCTCTTTGAATCTAATAACCGTCTCTCTTCCCCTCTCTATTCTTGCGCAGGAAATCACGCACAATATCTCTACATTCCAGAAATCCAAATCCGTATTCCACATCGCCTCAACGCCCAGAAGACTGTCTTCGTTCCATCATCGCATCGTCTTATCATCTTCTTCGTCGTCCCTACGCTGTCGGTCGCCGAAATCGTGGATTCACCATTGCTGAACATTCGTAAGGTCTATCTTCGTCAAAATCACCTTCGACGACTATTTATGACAACGCAACCGTCGAAATGGGCAAAAAATGTAAGCATTCTACTCATTCGTGTATTTAAACCCTAAATCTCTTTATCAACAAACAACATTGTAAACTTTTACAAATATCCCCTGTTTCTATGCATACAATATATAGGAGTCCATATTGCCATACCCTAACCTTTAATCTGAACCCCTCAATCGTAATCCCTAATTATATTGATTTTCTCAGTCAAAAACATTACAGTTGCCATTATATTGTGTTCACAACTGTGAACATTTAAATGGTTTGGAAAGATGTTGGCCAAACCAAATTGTTTCTGTTGTTGTTGTTGTTGTTGTTGAAAGCTCTGAACATTCACATTGATTGAAAATGTTTGGATAATCAAATTATTTTAGATGTTATTGGGTTGTTGTTTAATGCTGTGAACATTCACATGGATTGAAAATGTTTTGGCCAATTCTGTTTGTTGTTATTGTTGTTGAAAGATGTGAACATTCACATTGATTGAAAATGTTTGGGTAATCAGGTATTAATGGTGTTGTTGTTTTATGCTATGAACATTCACATGGATTGAAAATGTTTGGCCAATTCTGTTGTTGTTGTTGTTATTGTTGAAAGATGTGAACATTCACATTGACTGAAATTTTTTGGATAATCAGATATTATTGGTGGTGTTGTTCTATGCTGTGAACATTCACATGGATTGAAAATGTTTGGCCAATGAATAAGGATATTTAGATTTTTTTCCCCATTTTGTAAATGTTTGCCTTGTTGGTATTGTTGATTGTTAATGGTGATCCAATAAGTTGAACCTTCAATTCTTCATTATTTTACATAAAAGTGGCATGAAATACAGTCCCCGCAAATATTGACATTATCCCTCCCCCCCTTATCAAATTGTTGTTATTAGCCGTAGTGAACATTCACATTTAAAGTTCCTTGTGTTAGATATTGTTGTAATACATAATTATGTTGTGAACAATCATTACATGTGTAAATTAATTAGACAGTTTGTGAATATTAACTACTGTGTTTAGAGGAAATATATCACTTTTGTTATCCCATGTTTCAAATTGTATTTCAATTTTGAGGTTGTTTTACAAGATTGGCATTGCATGATTGTAGTAAGAATGTGCATTGCCATACAAATTAGGACTGTAAATATTCACAACATTGTTTTATACGTTTGTGTTAACATCCATATGTTCTTGAATGTTGTTCATGGTTGTATAAAAATACATTATTTTTTACACACTCACACAATATGTACATTGTGTTTGTGCTGACACAGTCAACATACACATCCATGTACGGATGTGGATATTCACATCCACACACAAACTCTGGTCATTCACACCCATGCATACAACTGTGAACATGCACATCAGTGGCAATGTTGTGAATGTTCACATCTGTTCCACTATGCTAATCACATGAGCCTTGACTTAATTTTTTTTAAATGCTCCATTTTGTAGATCTTGCACAAAAGAAAACCTCAAAGAGAAA